GGATCTCCTGCAGAAGCTTGCCCACTCCCTGCAGATCTTCCTTAGCAATCTGTCTGAACAACCCTCTGTGTCTGCACCAGACACCCAGCCTGCTTGACATATTTATGCAGCTTGCACAGCAGACTCAACCTGTGCTGAATCTGTAGTCTCATTACAGGGCAAGAAAAAAAAACTTCCAGCCTCTGTGGCTGTGAAGCAGGGTTGCCAGCTGTCTATATATTTATGGACAGTCCATAAAAAGAAAACAAGCTAAAAATGCCTGTCCATAAAGTCCATTAAAAAATTGAGCCATGTGCTAGAGTAGAGGAGCATCATCTTGTGTCCGAGTGGGACCACACCACCCTGAAGGGAGCAGTTTCTCACGGCTCTGTAAGCCCCCTCCACATCTCCAGCCAAATGCTGCTGCTATGTCCCATTGCCTGCCTGTCACACTCCTGGGTCACAGGTAGGCAGACAGCCGTCCTCCTTTGGTTGTCTGTGCCAGGACAGGGGGGCATGTGGAGGTAAGACCAGGGGGTAGCAGCAGCATAGTGTAAAACTGTTGCTGCAATCAAGCAAGGCTGTCAATGCAAGGCTTTTTTTTTTTTTTTTTTAAACTGATAACCTGAAAACTTTTTTACTGACAGCTAAATGTTTTTGTTTTTGAAAACTACAATGGGTGTTGAACCCGTAAATTTGAACCCAGCCCTTGTCCAGGGCCTGGCAGAAGGATTACTTTTACACTACATAAAACATAGGTCAGTAAAAAAAACTTGTTTGTCGGTAAAAACCTTAAGGACTGTCAGTAAAATACCTGCCTTGGGTTGGCAACCCTGTTGTGAAGACAATCCTACAAACATGAAGGAAGTGTAAATCAATGCAGCGTTGCCTTCCTGAATAATCATGCAGCCTAAAATAATCACTAAAAGAGGTGTGAATGTCTGCAATCTCCATTAGTCTCCGGAGGTGTTAGTGCTATAAGCCCTGTGATAACACGTTAAATGACAACTTTAGCTATTCCACTGCTGAATCCTCTAATGGAAGGAAGGGAACGAAGCTACAGCAAGGAAGGAGACACAGAGAAGCAAAAGAGTGAGGAATGAAGAAGAAAGAGGCACAAAGGTCAGAAAGATGACTAATCCTATATCCTGCCTCACTCCAAGCAATAGAGCATGTGACAATAAGAACTTAACAATGAACAAAACCATTAGAAGTTTGATTACTAGATAAAGGCCATATTGGACTCCTGAACTTTGAGGAAACCACTATCCAAGGGCACGAGTCGAAGTTCTGCTATGGATTCAAGAGAAGTATATACTCCCAAATTCATGTTCCAGCTGTTTCAATTCTTTCAAGTCCCCCACATTAAACTGCTGCACGGGTGTTGCTCCACAACCGATGTATTTCCCCTTGGCCGAGGCTGCAATCCAGCAAGTGAAGAGACCCCAATACACGCAGTTTTGGCATCATGAACCAAGATGGATAGAGGACACAAGAACTGGGCCACTCGATACCACCGAGATGGAACCAGAATTAGTGACAGCCAAAAAATCTGTCTTGTTGAATCTTGAACCACAGGGTAGGCCTGGCAAGCAGGCAGTGTGGATGTGGCATGCCAGATTACTGGCTGCTAGAACTAGTATTTTTCCTGGAGCTCGCATCACCTTCCACGGCTGTACATGCCCTTGGAAATAAAACAGGGAGAGGGAGACAACTGAAGAAAGCTGTCCCCAGGGGTCCCAAATGGTGCAAAAATCAGATGCTTTCATAATGGAAACACAGTAGTGACTGCCAACTATTTGCTATCAGAAAAAAGGCAAAAGGACTGCTCAGGTTAGCGTGGTTAAGGCAAGTCAATTCCTGTAGGTTCCCAACCACCCGGCCACAGCCTGGTACTGGGCCACGAAGGGTTGGCTGCTGGGTTGTGGCCTGAGCCCCCCGATCTGTCCGCCTGGGGTTAAAGCTGGGGGGCAGGGCAGCCCTCAGGAGGGAAGCAACCAGCTCCATCACTCCAATGCCAGGCCACAGCACGAAAAAGGTTGGGAACCACTGCTGTAGCCAGCAACAGATAAGGGAGTGACGTGGCCATCCCACGTCCACCCCCCATGACTTCCTGGCCTTCCAGGTGAGAGCTGGGTCACTTGGGGTAGGCTTCTTCAAGGTGTGAACCATTCAACAGTAGCCTTTGCAGTGGCTCACAATAACTTTTCAAGGGAAATCGAAAAGTGTGTGTGTGTTATTTCCCTTCAGTTCCCAAGAGCAATGATGGATTTACAGTGTAAACCATGAAATTCACTTTTCCCCATGCCTTTGCTAGAGACCAGGGCAGTCCAACATCCACATGGTCAGGGGTTGCACATCCTCCAGGGCTCCCAGTCTGCATGGATGTCCCTGCTGCTACGTGGCACACCTGCGGAGACAACAACCCCTCCCCAGCTCTGCCTCACCCACTGGGATGGAGGTAGGAAGCAGCAGCCAGAGGAAGGGCAGGTAAGCCCAGAGCCCCCAGCTGGAGCGATGGTTGTAGGCTGAGCAGGAGCCCAGGGGCTGCAACTTAATACCTCATGGGCTGCACATGGCCTGCCAGCTGGACAGTGGTGCTATAGATTAAGCAGCTGCATTAGTATAGGTGCTTTTGTTGCGCTTATTCAGTGAAAATAAAAAGGTCAGTATGGGTGAATTGTAAGAGTAACCTCTTCAGCCATGTTCTTGCTGCCTCAACCAGTTTTTCCTTTTTCAAGCTATCATGTTTAAAAACAAGTTGGCTGAACAACTAGATTTCTATTTCTTCCCCCTAAATGTACATGCTGTGGTTACTCTTGTTTACTTAAAACTCTACAATCACATTTGCTCTCATGCCCAAAAACCCATTTCCCCATTTTTTCCTTTTCCCAATAATCGCACTTTATTTAGTACCACACTTTCTCCTCTTTCGCTGACTTTACAGTGCCATCCCTAAATAGCATCATGTCTTCAATAAACTCTTCTGGATGACTGCTTACGGAAGGAGAGCCAACCATACTGGGACTTTTAGTTCTGGTCTTTTTTGCACTGGCATTATCACAGACCACACAAAAATGAACTCCACACCCCAGAATTCACTCGGCTACACTTGCCAAAGTTTAAGATTCACATGACTGACGACAGTGCTGCACCCTCGCGCAACAACTTTTGATCTGTTGAACTGGAGAGTGGAGATGGATACCCTGGCAATAGCTAACTATACAGGATACAATACTATATACAATAATATAGGAGTAATATTAACACAAATCTTTTGGAGATGGCACAGTATCAACAAATATTTGAGACTGATATACTGGTTCTGGTACCTACCTCTTCAAAAAGAAGACTGAAAAATTGGAATGGTCCAGATGGGAGCTGGAAGGAGGATACAAGGTCTGGAACACACGACAGGTGAGAGATTGAAGAAGCTCCCTCTATTTTATCCAAGGATGTAACTTGCTTGCTATATACAAGTACCTGAAGGACTGAGATTTCTGATAGTAGACAGCTACTCTATTTGACAAAAGAGAGCAAAATATGACCCAGTGGGCACGTCTACACGTTCATCAATGCACTGTAATTACAACGCATTAAGTTTAGTACCCATAATAACAAGGACTAAATTAATACACTGTAATCGGCACTACTGTGCATTAGCACAGATGAATGCTTTTTAAGCGACATTAATGCGCATTAGACTAAATCTACTGTGCATTAGCATGGTTTTTGCCAGCCATGCTAATGCTCAGCAGAATTAGTCTTCTGTGCACTAAGCATCCCATGTAGACATGCCCAGTGACTGAAAACTGAGCCTAGAAAAATTCAGAATAGAAAATTTGTACAAAAAAAAAGTTTACTTTAGTCCAACCATGCAGTTGGTCCAATCAAAGATTTCACCCCCCAAAAATCTTTGCCTCTTGCGTAATTCCTGGCCACAACGTCAATCTAACGTGACATAAACCTGGAGGTAATTTACCATTGTTGTAACTTATGAATGAACATAGAAGTTTCTCCATCATTTGCAATGTTTAAATCAGGCCCGGGTGTCTTACTAAAACAAAGTATAGCACAAAAGTCATAAAGTTGATAAACCCCAGACTCTGATTCCCCCCTGGCCTCTATTATGCAGGAGGTCAGCCTGGATGACCATATGGGTCTCTTCTAGCTTTAAAAATTTCTTCATCTGAGAGAGAGAGAGAGAGAGAGGTGTAAAACAACTGGCACAGGACCCATAAGATTTAAAGCCAAGTCAGAGGCTGCTTGAAGAATTCTCTTATTTTGCAACAGCAAAAGTAAAGCGAATCCATCACAAAAAACACACTTGCAATTTTGTTTTTATCCCTTTGAAATAAATAAAAAACACGTATCTGTTCCCAGTGGGATCTCATGATTTGGACACAGGAATATAGAGTAACATTGCTGAAATCTTACCATGTTTCAGTGGGACAGTGGATGAGTCTCATGAAAATAATCCCTCTAAGAGTTCTCACAGAGATCAGGATGGAAACACAAACCTGCACCTTATATTTGTCGCTCAAGAAAGATCTGTTGGTTTCAGCGAGCATTCCCCTCTCTCCTTCCCAAAACATTCATAGACTCCCTGCCCCTAAACAGATCTAAAAAATAACACTTGTGTTCACATATGCACGTCTGTCTCTTTCCCGGACTCTCTTTCCACACGGCCCAAGGACAGCTTCTAAAAGCTGCGTGCACCATACCCCATACAAAAGACAATGACTTCATTTGCTCTTCCACCTGTTTATAGTGCTCCACTGACTCCATGAAAAATTGCAAAACATTTTGGTGACAAAAATTCTGATCTATGGAAGATGTTCCACTATTCTTGTTTCAGCTACTTTCCATAGACTGCTTCTCCCTTCCCCACATGATCACCACTCTCTCGCTCTCATTTTCTATCTACACACCATTCTCTTTTATCCTCTCAAGCTCCGAGTGCAAAGTTCCCCACAGTATATAGCAGGGAAAATGTAAAACAAACAGTCAGAAAGGCTGGATGTGTCACAAAGCTTAGTTTAATCTGACAATCAACGTAAGGCATCAACGTAAATTAAAAATTTCCACCAGGATCATATACATTCTCCCATAAAGTAAAATGTGATAAAACAGAGGCCTGGGGGTCCATACAAGGCTAGTGGTTACTGGTCGTAGCCAGGCTGGCACTGCTGGCAGTGGTGCCAGCAGAGGCAGTAAAGGAAGCAGAAAGGTCAAAGGTCAATTTGCACAAATCCATCACAAAGCAATGATGAAGAAAAGGAAAGGAAATTATCTGGAAAACACCATTTCCGCCTTCCCCCATTCCCACTGGAAAAAGAAAAATGTTAATCTCATTAAAAGAGGAAAAAGTGGAGTTCTCAAGCTCCCATGATGCTGCTGGTGCACTTTGGAAATTACTGAAGTGCTGTGGAGTCCTGAGTTTATTATTGCTTTATCTCAGTTTGTTCCCAGGCTAAGGCTAATGTGAAATCCATATTAATTTAAAGCCAGAAGAGCAGATCCAGTAACAGCACCTAAATCCCCATCTGGATGTGGGTGTAAACAAACTCTGTTCGGTGAAATACCTCCCAAGTTTCCTCTCCTGTGCTATGTACACCTTCATAGCAGCACCACCATCTTCCAACAAAGAATAGGACAGCTTGTCACTTGGTTTCCCCTTTGCTAAAACTACCCTAAAGGTTTTACCTTGCGTTCAGTTCAGTTCTTTTCTACCGTGGTAGAAACTCCAAAATGCCTTTAGGGAGTCATCAGAGAGACGCCAAGACGGTCCGTGTTTTAGGACAGCAGAGGTTCTTTAGACTTTGAATTGCATTGCTTGCATTGTGTCCTTTGTAGGGGTTGCATTAGAAATTCCATTTATTTCTGATGTACAACTATCAATCATGCTTTGCCAATCCTCCTGCTGAGGCCTCAGGGAATGCATAGTGGAGGGACTCTCTTTTTCTACGCTATGCCTGCCTGGGCCAGTGATGCCAGCAGCCAACGCTCTGGCACTTCTATGTCTTCAGGAGGCAGGGTATGGACATGATTAGAAGAGATCAGGCTCTAGCAGCTGCCAGCTGAATAGCTTCACATTCTGCGAAAGGAGGCTCCCTCGTATGGGGCAACTGTCATCAGACCAAGGGAAATGCAGAATGGAGATTTTATCCTGGCAGCCATCTCTGCAGATCCAGCACAGACAGGGGATTTTTAAAAATTAAACAAAAGGTCCTATTTCTTATTCCCAAAGAGCCCAGATGGACAGAGCACAGGCCATCTGGGGGACTCTTTTGCTGTGCATCCCAGGACAAGACTGAGGATTGTGGCTGAACTTACCAAAAAAACTAAGATTCAGGAATCCCAACTTCCATTAAAAGTCAATGAAATTTGGGCAACAATACTTCATTAGACCCATCTGAAAATCCCAATCTAAGTGTCTGCTCTTTGTCAGTCTTAATCAGTGCAAAGGGAAGACTCAGGGTAGGGCTGGATTAAGGTAGGATTTTAAATCCTTCACGAGGTTTCCATCCTCTCCGCAGAGAAACCCGGGTGTTGTGCTCAACTGGATTCCCAGTTATCCGAACATTAAATTCCCCACCTCTCAAATCACACATTTCTGTCACAGTAAGGAGCACGTGGTAAAAACATATTTGCTCTCACTTTAAGTTCTTCAAAGTAGTCCTTTCCTTCTTAGGCCTCTGGCCAAAGTCTCCATCAGCCTGATTTTTGACATACGCTCCTCCCCAGCTACAAATACACAGCAAGCGCTATGTCACCTCGGGCTAAAAAAACACCCCCACAAAAACCACCCATGAAGGGCCCCAGGCAGTGGAACCGTCCACCTGCAGTGGGGAAACAACTCCACCATGCACCGAATCCAAACACCCACCCACTAGTGTCTGCTCATAGCTGGATGAGATCCCTGAAACCTGGCAGTGTTACTGTGGCAGGTACTTGAAGGCACGTTTGCGTTGTGTTTGGGGATTTTCAAGAAATCCAGTTGCAAACAAACTGCAGCAGCAGGGCTGAGGGAAAGGAGGCGGCACTTGATATTTTAACTCTGTTCCTGTCCCCCTCCTCAAGCTTCAAGCCCGACGTGAGCTGGTGATCTAGGCAGACACGTTAACATCCCTGAGTGAAATGGCACCATTAGTGGCCTCTGAGGCTTTGTCCTCAAGCACCATGGCTGGCGTGTCTGTGGCGACTGCTGTAGCGTCTATGGTGGGAAGGGGATTCAAGCCCTGTGACAAGATCTGCTGGATGGTTTTCCTCAAGTTGGGGTGCAGCTGGTTTTGGGTCTGGTAGAAAACTTCTAAGGCAAAGGACTTCAGAGTGCCAGTGCAGAGGTCCTCATACAGCGGAATTGTGTACATCCGAGACCTCTGCAATGAGAATACAATGGGATAACCGTGTACGTAAAGATGAAGAGATGTGGGCACACCAAGAGCATGCCCAGACAGTCCTTTGTGACCAAGCAAGTATTACAGCTCTTCAAAAGAAAAGTTAAAAAAAAAACCCGAACAACTAATCAAACTACTTACCTCACTTCAATATGACAACCTTTACGGATAAGACAACAGGCTTTTTTTGGACTGTCTGTCTAACCTAGTTAATTTTACTATTTGTGGACAAGAATTGAACACTCACAGATTTCATAGACATTAGGGCCGGAAGGGACCTCAGAAGATCATCAGGTCCAGCCCCCCAGGGGCAGAAGTCAGCTGGGGTCACAGGATCCCAGCAAGATAAACTAAAGGAGCTTGAGAAGCCTCAACCCAGCCTCAAGTGGGCAGGTACACCCAGAACAAAACCAAATCATCACATAAATTTGGTAGTGTTGATGGTCTCTGCCCTGGGGATCCCATACCTGGAGAAACAAAGGCTGTTGCAAGACAAGACTGGGATGCTGGGGACAGAACTGGCTCTGGGGTGAGGAGCCAGAACAGAATAACAGACGATAAGATTTGCCTGCAGGTGATGCTCTGTCCAGTCCTTCATCACAGAAGGAAGGAGCTGAACAGATCATTAGGACAATGCAGAGCTTTCTCATTTCAGCAGGTGATCCTGGCACAGCCCCTTTGTAACACACCTGAGCTACACTTGGCCAGGAAGCAGAAGTTCCAAGGTCTCTTACACGCTGCATGTCTCATGCACGTCTCATCCACCGAGAGGTACGGTGCTTTTTAATCCAGCAGTTAGTACCTGGTTTTCCAAGAAGCATCGGACTTTGTAAAGATCGGGGTAGTAGTCGTTTCGGACTACAATCTGCAGCCAGCGGATCCGGATCTCTGCATTCATGGAATCCAGCTGGGAGGAGTAACTTTCTGAAAGCTTTTTTATCACCTCTAAAGAGACAAACATACGCACATACGGAGAAACAGCTTGTTATGAGGCAGCTTCTTGGCAGGTTTCAAAGAAATTAGACAATAGTGGACAATAAGTTAGACTTGGGATGGGTGTTATGGTGCTAAGTGAACAGGGCAAACTAAATAATGTCTTCTGTACCAAGTACATTTGCCTACCACACAGGTGCAGTACTCACCATGGGGCAGTGGTGACCCATCCAGCAATCTGTCCAAGAAAAGCACGGTTTGGAATGTCCTCCATTTTGTGATGTCAACACTGCTGGCGGCAGCAACAGCATCCAGAGGCTCAGTGGTCCAGAGGCTGTAGAGTGTCTCCACTGGTCTGGTCAGACTGGATCCCTGAGATAAGTCTGGCTCAGCTAATGGAGGTCCTGTAGCATTGAGCCAACGTTCAAACTCCAGTCCTGGAATGAGGAGCATCAAAAATGTCGAGCAGGAGTCTCTGCAGCTGGCTTGGCTTTTCGGGACTGCTTCTAGCATAGTTAAGAGAAGTTCTAACAATAGCAAATCAGAGCAACCTATAGTCATAGCAAAATGGTAGGGGGCAAACTCCCAATATTGAGACCCTACCAGTTTTAGCAGTTACCAGATTAGACTATCACAAAAGTAACGTGATTTTCCTTAACGTTACCCAAAATGAATTCTAATGCTTGTTCACTACAGCAACAAGCACTCGAGAAGTATTTATGAGTCAGAAAGGCAGATGTGGCCTTGTAGATCCAGCTTGCTCTCAGGTACCCCTGTGTGTTTGTGTCCAGCTCTTCCAGTAACTTTGCAACCTCACTTCTGAGAAAGGTTCAAGGTGGGATTAACATGCAAGTAAGCAAGAGGGACAGAGTTTCTGCTCCGTAGAAAGGGAGACAAATGTCCCAGGAGTGGGAAAGCAGCAGATTTCAAAAAGCACAAACAAAATCAGCAGCCAAGACCAAACCAACCTCCAGATACAGTGCAGAGCTTGACAGACAAATCCATCTGCAGAGTAAACGGCAGATGACACATAACAGAAGATCGGGTCTGCGCACAAAGGATATCAGGGAAAACCACCCTCTGCCACATTCTGTGGGGGAACCCCTTATCTAAACTCTCCATGTATTTTAAGAAAAGATAACATTGCTGTTCTACCCTCTTTCTCTAGACTTGATGATTGACATTATAAGCAGGGTGATAACAGCCTCAATAAGAACTGTTCAAATGTCAAAAATGAGTCAGTAAGGAAATCAACTGGTTTTCCTCCTCAGATCGAAGCACTTTCTCCCACATCCTCTAATCCAAGCCCTCGGCTGTTCGTTCCAATATTATTTGCCTTAAACAGTTGACTAAACCATGTTCTTCCCCACCTTCTTTTCTCTCAACGCACTGCTCTTTCAGCTCTGGGAAAAAATTCAGGAAAGAGTCCAGAAGATCCTGGGCCACAACACTAGTAAATTTGTATTTCTCAATGTAGGCCTGAAACAGAGTGAAAGAATAAGTTATGGTTAAGATTGCAGCATGTGTTTGCTGAAGAATGACTGAGCCCAGTGTGAAAATATAGTGCTGGGAAAGCAAGAGGAGCTATTGGGTAGCTATTAGCAGCCAGTGCTAGAAGCTAAACCAAAATGCAAAGTAAAGGGAAGGACTGTCGCGGAGAAGAAATACTGCAGTCACAGAGAGGCTGCCAGTTCAACACAAACCCTAATACACTGGCATCTCAAAGAAAAGAGACAAAGAGTTTCTGTACGCTTCGCACTAGTGACAATCAGAACACACATTGGTCACTATGTTATCCACCAAACAGTATGGACTACAGAAGACTTAAAGATGCAGCTATACATACAGGTTTCCCTCGATTTACGCGGGTTCGATTTATGCAAATTTGCTCTTATGCGATGACCCATTTCATACCTGAAATTCATTATATGCAAGGTAAATTCACTGTTATGTGATTGGCATAGGTGCACTCTCCCCTCCCCCAAGCAGGGAAGTCTGTGAGTTTGTGAGGGGAGGGGAAAGGGCCATGGGGCTAGGGCCCCACTCACCGCAGCCCATGCTGCAGTTGCTCTGGGAGCGGCTGATGCCAGCAGCTTGCAGTCGCTGGGCTGCACTGTGCCCCAAACCCCCTGGGGCTCCGCTTCCCCCAGGGCACTGTGCCCCGAACCCCTCAATGCGGCATAGCCCAGAGGCTGTAAGCAGGCGGCATCCACTGCTCCCAGGGCTGCAGCAGGGGCAGGCAGTAGCCTGCAGCAGGATGAGAGCAGGCTGGGGCCAGCAGCTGTTGCAGGCTCTTCCTGGCTCTCGGGGTGGGATGCAGCAATGGGAGGGAGGCTGCTGCCACCCCAAAATTCCCCGTAGCCCCCCCCCCCCGCAACCTGCCCTCCCAGCACCACTGCTGAGTGCTGAGAAGAGCCTGGTGCCACTGCCGGCCCCAGCCTGCCCCACTCCAAGCTGCTGCTCACCACTGCTGCAGCCCTGGGAGCAGCAGATGCTGCCTACTTGCAGCTGCTGGGCTGCGCTGCACCATGGGGTTCAGGGCATGGTGCAACCCAGCGGCTGCAGTGGGGAGAAGCAGAGCACTGGAGTGAGTAGGGAGAAATGGGGTGAGTGGGGCTGCCACCCAGCCCAAGTGCCGCAAAACCCTGGTGCCGCCCCTGCTGCAGCCCTGGAAGTGGCAGACGTTGCCTGTTTGCAGCCACTGGGCTGCGCTGCGCTGCGCCCCTTTCCCTGCCCCTTCCCTAGACCCAGCCTCACTCCCTCCTTTCCTCCCTCACCACCGTGGGAACGCATCCCTATCTGCTTCACTGTAAACTAGGTTCGCTTTATGCAAATTTGATTTATGCGCCATTCCCAGGGAACATATCTACCGCATAAACCAAAGGAAACCTGCATTGATGGATTACAATGAGAGAAAAAGATACAGTTGGCGGTAGAAAGAGAGAGAGAGAGTAGTGAGGTGTCAACAGTGTAGAAGATGAGAAAAGAAGAGGCGAGAGAAAGAATAATAAGCTTTGTCAGTTTTTAAAGCAGACAAGTTTCTACAGTATTTGCCCTGGTGCTTCTAGACACCAAGGCTACCACAGATAGAATAAAGGTGCCTTGTACAAAGAACGCTGACTGTTGAGTTTGCCAGCCACGCATGCTCAATATTCTCCGGGGGAGTGAGGGACCACATAGTGACCATTGAGCAGCTGTTCCATTCAGGGGCAAATGCCCTGATTTTAACTTTCACTTACTTTGGGATAGGACAGACATACAAAACAGTGACCACACACAGTAAATCCCAATCGTCTAATAATAAATTATTTGTTTATCTGTCCATACACCCCATAGAGACTAAAACCAGGTAATTCTGGCAGCAGCTAAACCAGGACTGTCCAATGGGCAGCCCAGGGGCTACACGTGGCCTGCAAGGGGTTAAACTGTGGTCCCCACGTTCCCACGCAGCCACCTCTCCCCCATCACACTGGCTGCAACAACACCCAGTGTTGCTGGGCACCTGCTCTGTCCTCTGGTCTCTGTTGCCTGCCCCCATCTGAGGGGGCAACATAGTACAGGAGGCAGACAGTGAAGCGCACAATGCAGCACCATGGTAAGGGTGGGGACACCACGTGGGCCTGCAGAGCAGTAGGGTGTGCCCACATGGCACAGTGCCCAAGGGGCTGTAGCTTACCCTGGTGTGGCCCACGTGTGGTCCCCACTGGTGCAGCTTGCAGGGTATGCAGTCCCTGGATGGTTAGTAGTGGACAGCCCTGAGCTAAGCTACTCTGTGAAACTTCTTCCAATGGCTTGGAGCCCAAAACACAGATAACAAAGATGCATTGCTCCTCAGATGCACTGTTGATGCAGAAGTCACCAGCAACCTCATCACAGCATTTTAGCTCAGTCAGAGTGAGAAGCATGGCCACATTCACCAGAGAAACCCAAGAGAAGCCTCTCTCCCAGACTCTACCAGACTGACAGTAGACAGAGTCCTATTCTCTTGTTTCACACCAGCTACCTTCCACCCCCCACCCACCACTCTGCTAATAACAGTAAAACCTGCCGGAAAAGGAGCCAGAAAGCAGGATAGAAACATCAGTACACAATAAGTAGATATGCAGTCGGTACTAACTCTAAGGAAGGAGTCAAAGTGTTTGGGGTCTCCACAGAGCTGCGACAGGTAGTGAACGAAGCAGTAGCCTTTCTCATAGGTGAACAGGTTCATCAAATTACTAGGATTCACTCCTGAAAGAAGAAGAAAAAACCAAACAAACCCAAAACAGTATTGCAGGGCACAGGATAGCCTAGAACAGTAACTGTGCTAAGCATAATATTCTTATAGCTCAAGCTATTTCAAATTTCAGACCAGTCTCTAAGGCTTCCTTGTCAAGGGACAATCCTTTTCTCAGTCCTATATTCAAGAAGCTATCTTCATACTTCCAGAACCACTCTCAGCATAGACCAACTACTGCTTACTGCACTTTCAGGGACTCCTGATATACTACAAATAGAGGAAGCCGAAAAGCAGTGGAAGTACTACTAAATTTAGATATGCATTTCATTTTGCCCTTAGGTTAGATTAGGTTATAAATTGCTTGGTGGTCTGGTGCTTTTATGTCCACCTTCCTCAGTGACACAAACCAGAGAGAAACATAACATATCAGATTGTTGACAAAGATGAGACTGAGCCTCTACCGTCCCAGAGCTGAATTAGTATGCAACGTAACATGTACACACATATATATTTGTGTGCCTCCATATAGCTACATGCATTACAGATGCACACACATACACTGCAACCAGTACTGCAGCCTATACTTGAGGTTGCAAAACAAATGGTTTCCGTTATAACCACTTGTTTTTCACACATTCAAACTTTCAGAAACATTCAACTTTCAGGACACATTTCCCTGCCTTGTTTCTGCCCACCGGTAAATTTATTTTGGAAACTGAACAAAATCCATTGAACGGTCTCCTTTACAAAAGTTAAACAATACATCCTTTAAGTGAACATAGGGCTAAACCGAAAACTGCCTGGGGACATGCTGGATGTTGGAGACAAGTTATTTGATTTCCTGTATCTTGTTTTCCAAATTAAAGAGACTGAAAATATAAGCCAAGAATTTTTAAAATGGTGAGTCTAAAGTTAGGCTTTTAAGTCAACATTGCATAATAAATACAGGGACAGTTTTTTAACACAGTACATCCAAGACCAGCAGTACCTGGCTCCAGCTTCACCTGAAGCTTGCTGACAGGGTTGTCTTCTCCAAGGAGCTTCATCTGTCTGTGGAGGGCGTCAAGACGGAAGGCAGTTTCCAAGCAGGTGAAGGCAGCACCTAGTCCAGACAGAGCGACAGACAATAAGTGCAATCTGCTTTTGAGAGGATATCTATATAAATGGTATGGACACAAACCCAAGACTTCCAAAGATGTGATGGGCAGAAGGCCAGCAGGAGAAGTGTACAGGAGGATAATTCCTGCATTTCCTAAATCTGGCTGCCCATCAGACAGAATGAAAAGGAACTGATCAAGCTGGAAGCGTCAGAATTGTTTTCATCCTGGGCATCAGTCTCACTGGCCCACAGGAGAAGGGCACCCAGACAATCCAGGGAACAGACAGATGCTACTAGAAGTGTGTTGCTAGTATAATAGTGGACAGCACCTCTATCATAGTTCAGAGCTGTCCAGCTGTAACAGGGAATCCCAACTCTGTTAACTACATACAGAGGAGGAGTAGGACAGGAGAGCAAAGTCCTCAGGAGAGCCAGACTTTCACAGCTCACGGGAGCAGACCAGACGGCTGCAGCAGACAGCCCCAACAGAGACTTGAGCCTTGAGGCCTGGGACTGCTAAGAAGCCAGGGAGGGCTGCGCATTAGGCTGAGCGGGAACATCTGAGCCCATCATTGAGAACTGCGGTCATGTCACCAAAAGCAGCCACATAAGCCCAGTCTCTGAGCTGGGTTGGCAGTTCAATCAAAGGAGCAGACAACAGCTGGCTGCCAGTGAAAAGGAGGTACCCTGGGGGCTTGGGGAGAATTAATGCAGGACTTTATGATGAGGATAGTTGTAGGAGATTGTAGCTGAGTTACAAGATGGTTAACCCTTTGGATTCTAGTTTTCTCCTATGTATTTACCAAATCTCCTATGTAAATACCAAAAAATTGTGTGTGGCTGTAGGGGAGGTCTGGAGGCCAGCGACCAGAGTGCCAGGAGTACTCTCTGCTTGGGAGACCAGCTTTGATCAGAGACATGTGGGGCTGGGCTCCAAGGAACCCAGGTTCCAGAGCAGCAGACTTGGGCTGAGGGAGTTCAGCCAGATAAAAAGGGCCGAAGCTGAGAAGGCTGAAGCCTAGACAAGGGTTTGGTCCCAAGGGTCTCAGTCTCAATTTGGAACCAAGAGATCCTCTACAGGGGACAAAATTGTCTAAAGGCAGAAGGTAAAGGGCAATGTCAAGCAAAAGATCTCTCAACTCTTCATACACACTAAATTACTTGCAACCACATGGAAAAGACCCCTGTGCAGCACTTAAACAACTGAACAAAAGATTACTGTGAAATCCAGATGATGCTGATAATTATTATGCCCTTGTGTAAATAAGTCTGTGTTGTTATTCTAGCCATGGTGGTCCAAGAAGTGTCACGGGACAAAGCTTTTTTGTGATATCTTTTATTGGACCACCTGTATAGTTGGGAGAGCTGCTGGACAAGCCTTCAGGTATCAGGTGCCCATCCTCTATTCTTATACAAGTTGATAGAAATCACTTCTTGTCATCATCCTATCTCAGAAAACAGAGACAGAAGAGCTCCATCTTTGAGGAAGGGACAACAAGAGTGCTTTAGAGGCATGCCAAGACTTCTGGGCAAGACGAAATCGATTGAGACCACATACAGAGGAAATGCAAGCAGACTGACTAATGAGTGGGAGACAGAAGACAAACTCTATGCACTCATCTACTCTTTCTCAAGGAGAACAGAGAAGAACAAGCCAATTAAATTGAAATCAACAAATTTTGGATTCACTTTTTTTTAAAAAAAGATATAGTGAATTTCTTGTTAGTTATGTGGTATCAGAGGCCAAGAGTTCAGCAGAATTAAAAATATATTTCCAGCTACAGGCATCCATATATTTCACAGGATACATTAAGGGACATACATCCTCTGGCTTCCCAGTCTTAGCTAGCCACTTAGTGAGATATGGAAAAATATTCTGCAGCTTGCTTTGTAAGTAACTTCTATAACATTTCTTATTTTTTTTTTACCTCTGACGCACTTGGTCAGATACTGAAATGATGAGCCACCGGCCCAATTCAATACAGTATTTCCTACACTTCTACAGCTTGTAAACCCTTTGGGCTGTCCAGGTGTAGTGCGCTATATTGGGTATGTCTTCAATGCAAAGCAAAACAAATTCACAGTTGAGAGTGCTACACTCACAGCCCACAGTGGAAAGAATGTCAGCTTTTATGACACAAAGGTGCTCCCAACTAATATTTTATACTGGCAGTATGAAATCTCAGCTTAATCTCTTGGGGCTACAAGAGTCAAAGCTTTGCTAAAAGCCTCCTTCATTCTATTTCACTTAAAGCTTTAGACTCCCTGAGCCCTCCTCCTACAGGTAGGTGGAAACACAGGGTAAGTTATACACATCAAAAGAAAAAGAGCCGCAGCTATACCATAGGTCTCGGTGGTGATCCGTCGCTGTGCATACGTGGCTAGCCCCTCACTTAACCACATCTCCTCCCACGTGGCGTTGGTGACCGCATTGCCAAACCAGCTGTGGGCAACCTCATGGATGACATCGATAATGAGGAATTCATCACTCTCCAGAATGGAAGAAATGATGAAGGTCAGGCATGGGTTCTCCATGGCGACAATGGGGAAGGACGGAGGAAGAAAAACAATATCATACCTGGAATTAGGGAACGGTGAAAGAGAAGAAAGAAAAGCCAAACAGATTTAATTCATTCACCTAAAAGCTCTACAAAAGGATTTTTTTTTTGAAAGAAAGGTATTCTGAAGAGTTTCAAGATCTTACTTGCTATATTTACTCTTTGTAGAATTCCCTCTTTGTAATATTCTTTATTTCCATCATGGATGATCTAACTAAAACATGAGTCATTTCCTATCCCACAGAAAGCTGGGAAAGTTGAAAGAGAGGCATTTCCAACGCCAAGCAACAGAAATAAGTACTGGCAAATGCAGTGGAAATGCTTACTACCCTGCTAACTTGTTGTCCACAATATGTCCCAAAATAACTGTATTTAAAAGACAAAATGAAGCAGAAAAGATCTTTCCTTGTAGTAAGCGACTGAGCAGCAGCACTAGAGAGCCATGCCTGCTCACTGTTCTGCTCCCTGTAGATCACATGCCAATTTTATATTTGCCCAGTACGCTGCATTGCCTGCTTTTACCATATTTCTTGCATATACTGCACAACCCAATTTTCAGCAGCTGGTTTCTGGAAAAAAAGGTGTGAGGCGTATGCAGACAAATACGGTATTTATTTTCAATGTATTGCACAGGCTACACACATCTGGATGAAGATTATACAGCAAAGCAGTTTAAACAGTGCAGCATGGTATATGAAACAAAATGAGACAGCAAAAATTGGAAAAGTCGTTTCTCAGCTTAGTTGTGAATTCAGAGTCTTCTGCGAAATAGGGTGTAAACAATTATACTGATTACCTGCTGGGCATATCTGCAATTATACTGTCCGCCTGTTATGAAAAACTAACAGGAGATTCTACCATTCAGAAGAACTGGTTAAGGCAAGGCAGAATCTAGTTAGTCCAAACTATCTGTCACTTTCTGGACGGCAATCAGCCTTGCCCTTGTTCTGGATCCTTCAGCTTTCACTGAAGGTTGAATCCACTTAGTTGATCTTTACTTCTCATTTGAATGTTTTGTGTTATTTTATTAAGTATTATGCGAGGTCTACACAATATCTTTTAAAAATACTGAATAGATAACATGATACTGAACACTCTACTTCCAATACACACTGCATTGTGTTTATATCACTGAATAATGCTGTAAGGGTTGAAACATCCTTTTGGAAAATTAGAAGATTCTCTTATACTTTGTTTGACCCTTGCCCTTGACCACTACCAAACAGACGGCCACTTAAGAACTCAAGACTCTCCAGCCAGCTACCTATCCCCATCACACCTACTCTGGAGATGTACATCAAGTCTGCCAGATACAGTGACCTTAATGGACGAACTGTGTCCATTTTGTACATCGCTTTGACCGTATCAGGTGT